TCACGGATCCAATATTATTGGTCAACCGAGCTCCCTGGGCCAACCCAACCCAATCGCACCTCCCGTGCAGTACCCAGACCCGCACAAGCCGCGAGATCAGCTCAATTCCTACGATCTATTCCACGAAATTAACGTCCCCACCATCATCCCCACGGGTCAGGACATCTCTAGAGAGGGTGCAACGGGGTTTCCGCCAGACCCCAAGGCGCCTCAGCCACAGACAGCGATGTATGAGCGAAAACCGCAAGATACGATGTTCTACCACAACCTTCCCGTCGCGGGTTCCTCATCTCGGGTGACCAAGCGAACCAGCCGAACAGACATCCACGACAATAGTCCGAGTCCTTCTGTCCAGTCGCCAACGTCGCGCGGACTTACGGGTCAATCCAACCAGGAGCGGAGAAAAGCCCATAGAGCATACACCCAGAAAAGCAGAAACAAGGTGAACTCGAGATTCGAAGCGCTGCTTGACGCACTACCTACACCGCCGCCACGTTTGAACCCAAGATCCAAGGCCGAAATTTTGGAATATGCCACCGAGACTGTAATACGCCTTGTCTCGCAGAATAACAAGTTGGAGCTCCACCTAGCTCTGTCGAGTTCCCCACAGCTGGAAGCATGGCTTATCGATCAAACACAGGGATGCCGGACCGTGCGTGAAGTTTGTCAACCAATCCAAAGATTATTCACGATTGGGTTGGAATGGAAGGGCGCTGAAGTGTGGGCTATTGAGGCTCGTGCACCACTCAACACCGCTGCGCTTGGGCAAGCATGGACGTTTGTCCCGCCTCCATCCGGAAGGGGCCCATCGCGAGAAGAAGAATCTAAGATGACTGATTTGACTAGTTATCTTGATTCTGGCAAAGGTCAATATTACACGACTACGTGTAATGAGACGGTCGCCGTTGTGTACCGCTCGGGGAAACCTGCTTGGCTCAGCTGCGAATACAACGCAAGTGTCGGATTCGAAAATCAAGACTTCACAACAAACAGGACGCGATCTGCGGCGAGTTTTGGCATTTCGGACGTTCTTTTTGTCCCAATGATACTTTACAATCACGTCCAGGTAGTCGCTGCTTTCTACAACATGCGTTCTCAAAGCCCAACTCAGAATCCATCATTGCAACCACAGATCGACCCAAAGGCTTCCATGAGGGTGGCATCCGAAGCAATCGCCATCATTGCGCGCCGCTTCTGCACCCTGCCGGGAGTGAGTGAGTTTCATGAACAGTGACCAAAACCTACTTTTCACTAACTATTCTACGCAATAAAAAGGATGTAACTGTAGCTCCAGCGTCAACATAGGGATTCATGCATCCTTTTAGGCCGAGTACTGGGTTCGCGACAGCATTTAATATCTCCAGCAAATGCGTTTGAACATTTACCCTAGACTGCCTCGAGAAAGGACTGCGTGATGGGGCCCATCCCTTCCATTCCTGGGCTTTGTAGGACTGAAACTCAACTGTCGTCAGCTTCGGCAGACCTCGTTTGTTTCTGAAAGTGTGTCTGAGCAGGTCTATCAACAACTCAGCAATCAACTCGATGCGCAAATCTTCATTCTAACTCCACTACACAGAACGCGAGTATGGGAATTTTAATCTCATGAGATGGAGAGATAAAAATAAAGTCAGCGAGCGGTCTCTGTTCGTTTCAATATCGTCCAAAACAATTACACGAAACACACTTGTGCGAGCTACCAAACCTGTAATGGGATGTGTACCATAAGTTCCATGAATCCTCTTAAATGAGGACGTCATAGGCGTGAGATGGGCGTGCCAGTCGTTAGGGTAAGGGGTCCATGCCCTGCGGCATTCGTCCTCTTGCTGAGACGCTTAGGTCAGAAGAAATGGCAGTCGTCGTTTCGATAAATTACCGTTGTAAGATAGGCACACAAAGAACACAAGAGCTATTACATAACAGTTACGAAACGTTCTTCGCCTTAGAAGAGTTTGTGCCCATTCCCTCGATCTTGTGGCGAATCACAAAAAGCCAGCACTGTAGGAAGTTTTAGCAGGGATGACAAGTGCAAATGGAACCTATCACAGGAAAAAAAAGCTACCAGCACAAGCACCTCTCATTTTTATCTGTGGAACCCTCGCAGGGGATTACAGTGATGGAAAAATGTTCCAGTGGAGGTTAGTTGTATGCTCGTTTAAGCTTTCTAACTCTGCGCGACCAAACGTCTTGGTGTGAATTTTTGGACGCCACAAATTGCAAGCTTATGATGACATCCCATGTTTTATGTGACTAGAGCGTACTGTACTGTTGTACAGTATAAGACGCTCTAAACCGCGGGACTGCTTTACAAACTCAGACAACCCATAAATAAGAAACCATAAACAATGGTGACTTTTTCCGCAATCCTGGGCGATGCACCCCTACCAAAAGAGATAAATTGATTTCACCGCGCGTAATGTGTGGACTACTGTAGCTGTTTCTAGTCGGCGAGCAATTCACGGGATCGCAAACTATCGAGTGTCTTGTTTTTGCAAAATTTGTGTGAGCATCATCAACGTTTTGAGTTGTTTGTTTCTCTGTTGCGGTCGCGCGAGAGCGCTGGGACAAGGGGACGGGACCAATCGTCAGGCCGGAAAGTAGACAGGCTGGTGAGCTGAAACTCAAGTCTCAACATTGACGGTTTGTCAGCAGCGGTTGACAGTTGTAGCGTTTTCGCTGCGGAGCTATAAGCTTTTGTTGCGTTTACTGAATGGAGAGTTGCGTGAGTTGGACTGTCGTGGAAGCAGAAGCGGTGCTGTTTTTTAGGAGTGGACCAACGGCTGAACGACAGTGACAGTGCTGTACAGGGTTTACTGGGTGATTTATGCCAGGGAGGACGGACTTCGAAGTGTCAATGTCTGACATGACCATGACGATGAAGATCGATACTGTACGGACGTACTATGAGTCGCGGGCGTTTCCCACTCTTGTGACTTTTCTTGCACAACGAGAGGCCTGCATGTCACTGCTAACAGGTCGCTTGTGAGGACGTTGAAACTCAGCTGGCGTGAGGGTTACAGCGGTGCTGGGTGGTGTTGGGGAATGGTAGGTGTTTAGGGGAGTTGAGAAATTGGTAGAGTGTGTAGGACGTTTTCAGTGCAGGAAGGTGTGACGACAAGGAGACGAGGACAAGTAGTGTGGTTGTTCATGTGTGGGAGACATGTGGGAGATGTGTAGTTTGGAGTTATGTGGTGGATTTGTAAGAATTGCGTCGCCTCCAGTACCACGAAACTGGAATTGTATGGTACGAAGGGTAAATTTTTAGGGTGGGCGTGCACAGAAGGTGCGGGTGTTGATGGGAGCGGAGCGGGCTCGTTTGAAGCGCTGAGAAGTTTAATTGCGTTGTCTCCAAGAACAAGCGGAGCAACATACAGTGGGAGTTGTATATAGGAGACATGTAGCGCAGGGTGGTACCACACAGGGTACAATAGGCGAGGGGTTTTCGTTGCTGGTTGAATGGTAATTGCGGGTGTGAGGTACTCGTAGTAGTAGTGATGAGGTTATGCCAACAAACAGGACAGGAAGATGCAAAAGTGTACAAAGTCGCGCGACTGTATTCAAAAGCGCGTGTGCGCTTTTTGTTGCGTACACTATATAATTATATCGTACGTGTACAGTGTAAACTGTTGACAGTGCCCTTTTGGCGGAACTGATGTCAAGAAAACGTCTCTGATGACCGGTCAAGTTTCCACCGCACGCGTCAGACAAACTGGAGATAGATAAATCGCAGGAGGTGGTGCACCTGAGCAAAGATCGAGACCGGGTGAGGGTGTCTCGGTAAGGAAACGGCGACTCGGAGGCGGTTGAAAGTGCAGCAGGAAAGTGCGGCAGGACAGCATGCGACGCCCAAAAAGGATGCAGCGCAGCAGCGCGCGGGGCAGTGATGCGGAAAGGTAAGCGCAAGTGGCGGGCCTTCGTTTTTTGAAAGGGGCGGTTCTTTAGTCGGGTGCTGCGGCGAGAGATGCGCGTCTGGAGAGAGGAACTGCGACGCGTGCGCACGCGGGGTTGCGGGGGAAGCAGGCGCGGTTTTTTAGCGAGCGGCGTCGCTGGGAAGCGGTGACGCACTTTCTCGCGACAGGGTAGGATGTCGCGGGAGGGTGTTGCGCGGTGAGTGGCAGAGCGTCGCGACGAGGGGTATGAGGCGATTGGGAGGGCGTGTCGATGTCGCGGCAGTGATAGAGGGCGAATTTACGAGAGAGGATAGCGGGGATAGAGATAGGTCGCGAAGGGGTAAGGGGGGGGCGGGGGGGGGCGGTGAAGATTGGGGTGAAGATTGGGGTGAAGATTGGGGTGAAGACTGGGGTGAAGACTGGGGTGAACATGACAAGGGGGCTTGTACATCTTGCTGAACCCACTTGGCCTTGCTGGACACTTTGCCCTGCTGGACACGTGGCCCCACCCCAACTGTAATGAAGATCTACATTACAGTATTAGATAGTGTAATGCGAGGGTCCCACCTTCCCGCATTACACCGTGCCTCGACAACGCTTCCCCGCATCCATTGGCCACCGGCGCCACGGCCCGCGTAGCCTCAAGCACCAGCCGCAGACCGCCTATTCTCACCTCGCTGCTTACACGCCCTGCCCTGCACCGACCGCGTCCACCGCGCCGCCTTCGCCTTCCACCACAGCACTTGGGCGGCGCACTCGGGGCACGTGGTACGCGCACAGACGGCGCAAGAGCGGGCATCGGCGCGCGTGCTCACGACCCCTTTGGCGATGGGCGAGCTGGAGACGCTGCGCGCGGAGGTGACGTCGCTGCGCGACGCGGCGGCGGCGGCGCGCCGCGACGCCGACGCGCGCGTCGACGCGCTCAAGAGGCAGCAGGCCGACGCGCGCGCGAAGGCGAAGGCCATCATCGTGCGCCAGCGCGCGGAGGCGGAGGAGAGCGTCGGCCGCCTGGAGGGCGAGAACGGCCGCCAGGCGGAGGAGCTCGCGCTCGTCAAGGACGTGCTCCGCGCGGAGAGGGAGCAGGCCGCGGCGTGCAGGGGCCGCGCGGAGGAGATGGCCGTCCTCGTCGAGGCGGGGAAGGCCGACTTGGGCACCGCCGTCGCGGACAAGTGCGGCGCGGAGGAGAGGCTGCGACTGGCGGAGGCGGAGGTAGAGCGCGTGGCGGAGCGCGGGAGGAAATTGAAGGAGGCTTTGGAAACCCGCGTGCGCGAGCTGGAGAGAGAGCTTGAGGCGGAGAGGGAGGAGCGCCCGGAGTCTCACTCGCCGCCGAACCGGCAGATGCCTGCGGACTCAGAGGCGGGCGCGCTGCGGGGGGAGTTGCATGCCGCCGCCGAGCGGATTACGCAGCTTGAGAGTGTATGCAAGCAGCTTGAGCGCGAGAAAGATACCCTTGCCGCGGGGGCTGTGGCAGCGAGCGAAGCGGAAAGTGCGGGGAGTCAGAAAGAAAGCACGCTACGGGAGAGTGGGCCCGGTGCGCATTCACTCGTCCAAGTCGACAAGGATGTCTTTGAAAAACAAAAAGCAGACTTGTCCCGCCTGCAGGATACTGTCGCGCGTCTGGAATCAGAGCTGCATTCTGCGAAGGCCGCGAACGTCGCTGGTGATGAGCTCGCTCAGAAGTCGAAAAGCGAGCTCGCTGAGACATCGAAAAGGCTGTCAAGTGCTCAAGAAGAGCTCAAGGCCGTGCAAGAGAATCACACAAAAACAGTTGAAGATTTGAAGAACCGTAAAGCAGAGGCGGAGAAGAAGCTTGCGAACGCCGAACGGGAGGTCGCCAGGTTTAAATCAGATCTTGGGAAGAGCGAGGAAGCATTGCAACAAGAACGCCACAACGTCCTTCAGGTTAAGCAGAAAGCTTCCGAGGTCGGCTCCACTGTCGATGACAACAAGAAAATCTTGGAGGCCAAGGTAGGAGAGTTGGAGCGGATTATAGCGTCAAAGCAGGCAGATATTGTGCGAGTGAGAGACAAGGCCAAGTCGTACTTGAGGGATATCAACGCAGAGAAACGCGACATGGAGGAGAGGATGCGACGCGAGGCGGAGAGCTTGCGCTCGCAACTCGTAGAGGAACAAAACAAGTTGAAGGAAGAGGAACAGCGAGCTGAAAGCCTGTCCACAGAACTCGACAATTGTCTCGCGCTTATCAGAGAAAAGCAGAAGAGTTTACAAGTGCTGAAAATGACAATAACAACTGAAAAACGGAGCGCGGAAGAGGCACGACGAGAGATAGAGTCCTTGCGTGCTGAGTTTGGTGCATACAAAGGGAGAGCGCGTATCGCACTGCAAGAAAAGGAGACGTCTGCTGATGCATCAGAGGCTGCAATAGACTCGGCGACATCTACGCTTCGAACCGAAGTGGAGCTACTGCGGAAGGACAACGTTTCCCTCGGCAAGCAAATCGCAACTTTGAAGCAAGCTGATTCTCAGATGAATGCCCTCCTAGATAGAGCACAGAAAGCGGAAGCGGCAGTTGATCTGCTGCGAAAAGATGCGACAGGGGTATCGACGACAACATACAGACAGATTGATGCGCTTCAGGAGAAGATTGCATCTCTCGAGACGGAGCTGACAGCTGCCCGGGCATCCACTGAAGATGCTGAAGCGCGACAAGAAACCACGATGATGCGCCTGGAAGCTGCGGAGAGGGCCCTACGCGGAGCTGAGCTCCGAGCAGAGGAGGCCGGAAAATTGTCGGTTAAATCAATCAAGTCAATGAACAAACAAATCGAATCACTCAAGAGCGCGTTGAGTCGTGCGGAGCTGTCGTCCGCTGCGGCTCATCGGACTGCTGCAGTAGCTGCTAAAGCCCTTGGTCCTGCACCATCCCAAGAGGACGAAACTGTTTCTAGCTCGGGGAGCCGTGCGCGAAACCATATGTCTCCTCAACAACAAGATAGCATTGCTAGTGACAGATCATCGTATGCGAGCCTAAGCCCTAGAACGATGCATATGGGTCGCTCATCACTCGCTGTTGCGATGGAGAAGCATACGGGCCTTTTTGGTGTGGATAGTAATGAGATTGTTGATGAGGCGAGCTTGGAAGCACGAGATAGGCAGATTGCAGTCTTGAACTCGCAACTTGCGGAGCTTGGAGCTCTTCTGGATGATGCTCAACAAGAGGGTGCCCTAAAGAGCGAGCAAACAGACGTCTTGAAAGCAGAAGTCAAGAATTTGGATGCAAGGCTAGCTGCTGCGGAGAAGCTTCAAAATGGCGCACCCTTCAGCTACCTGCGAACCATTGTGGTGCGATATTTGGAAACTGATGATCCAACTCTACTGCCGGTTGTTTCGAATGTTTTGAGTTTCACAAAAGAAGAAGAAGCACGCATCAAGGGTCGAAGGGGATCGGCAATGCCCTCTTCCACTCTATCCGCAAACTCACAAAAGTCTAGATATTTTTCGCTCCCATTCTTTGCCCCGCGGTGACGACGTAGGATGTATACACTAGATCCATCAGCGAGGTCCAATGAATGTTCACGCAGTTGTAAAAATATTAACAGGAATGGGCCCATTGCTGGTAAGACAGTCTTCTAGTCTTCAAGGTCAACCACGTTCAGTAACACACGTTTCCTGCACACATGGATAAGCTTATTTGTTTTCGTGCGCAAGCGCATATAAAAGCTACCAAAAAGGAAAACAAAGGACGATTGCAAGATTAAAAAATAACCAGTGTGGGACTGCTAAATTTCGTATTTACTAGCTGAGTCCTCATGGACTGAAGATATTACAAGAATTCGTCAAGGCTCAAAGGTGTCAAGTCGAACGCTACATTGGGAGTTACGCTTACATCTTCTGTACAGTACACTGTTGCGATAGAACGAAGCCTTGATGCATAGACATGTGAAAATGCTTTGATCGTCTAGACTACAAGCGTTTTGAGATAAAATGTCACTTAAACACCCAGCCCGCGCCGGCCTGAAAATAATCAGCACATTTTTGACGTCGACAACAAACGCACTCTATTTCCATTTGATAGGGCTACCAAGTCCTCCTCATTGCATTTTCCCCTCCAAGCACTCTAACAAGGGTCTGCGGTCCGTCACTCGTACTGCTGGAGGTCAACCGGTGAAATGCCGGGTCTTACGCTTGTGCGACCAGTAGGCAACTGTTTAACTTCGGGTGGGTCCTCCGTTACTACTCTACGCCGTCGTGCTTTGGGGAAACTCGCCGCTTTACCTGACTCGCTCCTTGTTCGGCTCCTGGACACCCTTGTCTCATCAACCGAGCCTCTTGAAGCCGCTCACTCTCTGTGCGCTTTTTCGGCCGCATCTACTTTTGCAAATGCGTTCGCCGCTGATGAGGATCTCTGGCGGCGAATTGTCTTAATGGTTTACTCGACAAAGCAAATAGCGACTGCTTTCAGGGACTCATGGCGTGAAACATTCTTGTGTCTTGTCTCTAATCGCCGAAGAGCCGCGTCGGATCCTTCTCCTGCAGAAAGGAAGAGTTTTGTTTATTCGGACGTGCTCTTTCACAAGTGGCGATGTCAGACGGCAGCTATCGACCCTGACTGGCTCAGCGTGGACAATGTATGTCGTGTTTCTGCATCAAGCACTTCCGCAGTAGACTTTCGGCGATGTTACGAAGAACCAGGGCAACCTGTAGTGGTTACAGGCGTTGCAACAGGGTGGCCTGCATTCAAATCTTGGACAGTCGCGGGACTTGACGAGCGCTGCGGTGACACTCTGTTACATGCGGGTGGATTTGAATTTACTGCACGCGATTACTTCCGATACTGCGAAGCTGTTGAAGGCCACGATGATCAGCCATTGTACGTATTTGACAAGCACTTTGCAGAAAAAGTCCCTCAGTTGAAGGATGAGTATGGTGTACCAGAGTACTTCGGAGAAGACTTGTTTAAAGTGCTTGGGGAGGAACAAAGACCAGACTACCGGTGGTTGATCATTGGACCGGCGAGGAGTGGCTCCTCCTTTCACAAAGACCCCAACGCAACAAGCGCATGGAACGCGATCATAAGAGGACAAAAGAAATGGATTCTTTTTCCTCCAGACCGCCCACCACCTGGGGTCCACCCAAGCGGCGACGGCGGAGATGTGACGGCGCCAGTGAGTATATCTGAATGGTTTTTGAACTTTTACGATCATGACATGCTTCAAAAGTATGGTGCTAGGGAATGCATTGTCAATGAAGGAGAAATGATATTTGTACCGATGGGATGGTGGCATTGCGTGCTGAACACGACCACCTCCATTGCCATAACTCAAAACTATGTTAGCTCGGCCAACGTCCGGGAAGTGGCGGCATGGCTTCGAAACAAACCATCACAGGTGAGTGGATGCCGGTCGAGAGACCAAGCGTCTTTCATTTGCGAAAATTTCCCCCGCCTGGTCGTGGAACGGTATCCGGAGTTGAACGAAAAGCTGAAAGGATTCATTCTTGCCGAGGTGAAGACAGATGGAGCTGTGGAGAACGGTTCAACTGCAAAACGCAGGAAGACGAGTCTTTGGGAGAGTCTCCAAATGAGTCCAAACTTGAGCGTGAAAAACGCGACCAAGGGTACAATGAAGACACAGAAAGCAAGTAGCACTGTCTCAAGTTTTTCTTTTGGATTTTGATGTTGACACATAAAGATATGCCAGTACAACGCTGGCAATGCTTTGCAGCTGAGATCATGGCGAGGCGAAAGAATGGCATCGACGCAGGACGACTCAATACCCCTCGGTCATTCTGCGAAAATCATGTCCTGTGACGCCGAGCAGGTAAAGCACGGAAGCCAGGGACTTTGAGGCGATACGGCCGCTCTGAATTTCATCTGTAGCATCAGGTTGGTCAAATGCAACTGACATACCAGCCGCTGCGAGCATTTTCGAGGAAACCGGTCCGTCTCCGACAGCAACGATCTGCTCCATGTCAATCCGCTCTTGCATCGCGAGCATATGCGTGAGTTCAGCTTTGCGCTCTGTGTCAATAATGGGCCCTATGACAAGACCCGAAAACTTGTTTGCCGAGTCGGTCTCTAGAAGATTGCCAAACGCATAGTCCAAGCCGAGATGGTCCTTGGCGCGCTCTGCAATAAACTTGGATCCAGAAGAAACAACAGCCAGTCGACACCCGAGCCTTTTCAGGCCCTTGCACAATTCGACGGCCCCATGCGTGTAGGTCAAGTTGTGGACAACCGCAGCGTTGACCTTGCCGGCATCGACGCCTTCCAACTGCTTCGCTCTAGCCTTGAGCCATTCCGGCCCAGACAAGTTGCCCTGTCTAAACGCTGCTTCCACCTCCGGCGGCGGACTCTTTCCAGCTGCCTGAAGGAGGACATCGATAGCATCGCACTGCACCAAAGTCCAAGACAGGTCGAAGACGACCATCCTCTTTGCTTTCCTGAGGACATTAGCCTTCTGCAGGGCGACATCGCACTGATTTTCCTGTCGGCCCAACTCGAAGAGCTCCTTCTGCAGCGCAGCCACATGCCCATCGCCGGCCGGGACGGCGATGCGCAGCTCGAGGCACATGAAGTCGTCGCCTTGCTCCGTGAGCCTGGTGACGCCTCTGACCTTGCAGTCGCGCTCGACGAGGGCGGCGAGGGCGGTGGCCAGGAAGGTCGGGGAGATAGTGCCGGGGGCGAAGAGGGTGACGACGTACTCGTCCGGGGTTCTCGCGGCGAGGGCCGGCGGCGGGGCGGCCGACGGCGCAACCGTGAAGTCGACGGTCAGATGGTCCTCGTGCGCGCGGAACAGCAGATCCTTGATGACGTCGCGCGCCGCAGGGATGCGCAGCAGCGCCGTCGCGATGAAGCGGTCCCGCACCACCAGCTGCGCGAAGTCCGCAAGCTGCAGCGATGGGTCGTCGCCTAGCACGCGCATCGCTTGCGAGAGCGCCGACGGCGACTGCTTCCCGGTTAGCGTGACGATCACATGCTCGGCGGCGGGCTCCGTCATTGCTGGGGGATGGGGGTGTGCGCGGAGAGGGAGAAAGTTGGGGTGGTACTTTGAGAGAGGTGCAAGCTGGACCAAAAGAGGTTTATAAAAATGCAAATGCAAACGCATTGGATTGAGAGAGATTCGGGGCAATCCAGAGCGATCAATCTTCAAGCTCGCTCTCGCTCTCACGTTTGTACTCGTTTTAAACGGATTCTCTACCACCGCGCAAGCAGCCACTGCGGCATGGCACTAGGCCAAGGCCTGAGGTTCACGCCGTCTGAGCGTCACGCCATCAGAAAAAGAAACTGCAGTACCCGTGAGTACCTCAAGGCGCACTCGTACGGTACATCAATTGTGCATGCATGCACCCTCGACAAAACCTCTACGACCTCTCCGGAGGAAAAAACGTCCCACGCACAAAACCATGATCTACTTGCCCGACTTTCCTTTTCCGTATCTACCACGCCCCCCGTCCCCCCGCTTCATGCACCCTCGACAAAACCTCTACATACATGTCCAAACATGCCCGTCCATGCTGTCTTAAAGGAGGCCCTGAGGGCCCTCAGTACGTAGTACGACCTCCATGGAGAGCCACTATTCCACATGGAAACGTGTACACGTACATTTCATTACAGTAATCAGATTCAAGCTTTTCCAACTGCTACACCACACAACTGTATGACGCACCATCACGTGCACACCGCGCCACCGATGCCTTGCTTGGGGGGGTGGGGCCTCTCACTTCACCCATACGCGTTGAGCCTGCCCTCCGCCATCCCCCTCTCCCTTCCACGTCCTCCCTTCCACGTCCTCCCTCCCGCCATGCCCAAGCCCTCCTAGCGCGTCCCTCATGAGCGTGCTGCCCCCGCGCGCCTCGCGCGCGCTGTACCGCGCGGTGCTGCACTCTGCCTCGCAGCTGCAGCACGAGCTGTCGCGGTGCGCGTCGCTGCGGCCGCGCGAGCTGCGCCTGCTGAAGGCGGCGGCGGCGGCGCCGCTGCCGCGCGAGCTGCGCGGGCTGCTGGACGTGCGGGCGCCGGGAGTA